AGAAGAAGAAGAAGAAGAAGAAGAAGAAGAAGAAGAAGAAGAAGAAGAAGAAGAAGAAGAAGAAGAAGAAGAAGAAGAAGAAGAAGAAGAAGAAGGCCTATTAACACGAAATGAGCAGACGTATTTTCGCGCACAGAACCTGCTGGCATACCGCTACATCCTGCCGTTCGTCCTCGTCTGCTTCGTCTTCCTCCTCGTCGTGTTCCGCTTCCTCGATTCCGGCACGTCGTCCTCGGCGCCCTCGCAATCGCTAAACTGCCCCGAAGGCGCGGTCAAATACGTCATCAAGGACGAGGACATCTGCGTGAACATAGCGAGGAATCACGGCTGTACGGTCGACGTTCTGATCTCGCTCAACAGGGAGAGTGGCTTGGAATGCAATCACCTGGAAGTTGGGACGTCGATGTGTGTGCCTGGCGCGGGCACGGTCGAGGACACGGAGTAGTAGGCTTCAATTTTCAATTGTTATTTGATTTGGGGCGTTTTCGGAGTATATTGGTCAATTACAGGATATCGATGCGCCTGTCGGACGGACTAGGCTCAGTAATGTGATATTGTCTGATGTGTCTGACGAGCAAAACACCATATCTTGCACGCGCATTTCTCGATCTACACCATCCGTCCTGCACACTGGGACTATGCCAAGTAGTCGCTACGTAAGACTCCAGCTTCTTGCTTCTCGACACAGTTCGAGGCTTCGGCCTTCCACATAAACTTCCATGGCACACCGTAGGGCGGTACAAGGACTCGAGCACTATCATCCCAGTCATATCTCGATGCATATGCTTTAGCCATGTCCGTGTATCACAAGACGAATACAACAGCCTTTCCACTAATGCCCTTGCATCTGGTTCCGAAACAGCAGCGTTTCCGCAGGCTATGTGCTGGCAGTCTTATTACTTTAGTACGTTGTGGCATGTCAGTGTTGTCGTGGCCATCCATGCCGAACCTATCACCCTTACAGTGGGCATTCTGTTTCTCGGGTCCATCGCGGTTGGGTTGTTCATGAGTTCAATACGACTGCCAGAACGATAGAGTATCAGGTGACCTAGCTCCTGCACTTCAATTCTTCGCCCACATGTGCTCTATGTATCGTATACTCCTGACAACCGTAATTCAGAATCGCCCCTTCAAGTCCCGTTCCACACGAATATACCTATAGCACATTATACAAGACTGAAAACAAAGTTCAAGCAAGGAACCCTGGCGTCTCGAGCAGCACGTAAATCTGCAACACGTCAGTTCAGGGGCAGGGGAGTAATGCGTATCGTGTCGAGGGTGGAGAATACATTTGGGAATCGAGAGACTGCGGCGATGATTGGGGGATCACATCAGGGCAGCTAACTGTGTCCACAGCGTATGTATGTATGGGTCCACACGGGAACACGGGACACAGACATACGGTCCGTTCGCGAGCACCCGAGATACGGAAGTGAAAAAGGGGCGTGCACACCCGGGACAGAGATTACACGTCGACACACTACTACTATTAGTGCTTTCATACTTCTATCTAGCCTAGTAGGTAGGTAGGGAGGTAGGCAGGCAGGCAGGCATACACTGCCGCCTCGGCGAATCCACCCCAGTCTTACGACCACGGCGTATATAGTCGAGAGAAGAAAAAAAAATTCGGAAACGACTTTCTCAAGCCTTCTATAGTCATTTGTGAGAGCCGTCTGACGATGACCGTGGTAGGCTGGCGGATTTATTGTCCAGGACCTAGGTCTTCGTGGTACAAAAGTGAACAGATCCTGCGGTGCGCGGGGGGGGGGGGGGTATATATGCAACAAACAAAGCGCATCAAGGGACTCCGTATCTATAACACGTCATACACGTCTTTTGAGCAGATTATAGGAGAGGTGGTGGTGTCATCTAGATGTCGTGTACATGGTCGAGCTAGACGAACCGTGACGGATGCTCGCGAGATGGTGATGGTGTAAGGGAGACATCCAAGCAGATCCAAGCAAAGTATGGCGGGTGCGGAATGTGGGGCGCACAGAGACTTGTGACAGTAATGCTGTGCTGCGTTGCGCAAATACAACGGACTGAAACGCACTATGAGTTCAGCGTTGTGCTTCACTTCCAGAGTAGGACACAGGCGTGTCGAGCTCAATATCCTCACGACGGGTGAGGGGATCATGCAAGCTGCGGTCAGGCGTAGAAGTAGACTCGTCGTCGAAGCTGTGATCTAGGCCACGGTCGTTATACCTATGTAAGTCGTGGATGCTCTCGGTAAGGACAGGCATGCGCTTGTGAAAGGGGGAAGCGAAGCCACCGTGGCGAGTGGCAACTCTGGTCGAGCGAGAACGCCAATATCGGGAAAAGATGCTGTGAAAGGCATCCTTGCATTGTCCCCACGACGTTATGATGTAGATGACGGCATTCCAGAAGCCTTGTAGTGGCAGAACGAGACCGGCGAGCAGAGACAGTGCAAAGCTGGGCTCTTGGGGGCGTACAAGAGAGTACACTCGATTAATAGTTGAGGGCACCCAGACGACAAACAGTGCCAAAAACATGAGCATGGAAACCTTGGCGTATCCCCATGCAGCCGAGTTCGCATGTCTTGCTGCGGCAGACTTCTTTCGGTGCGCTTTCAATTCACGCTTGGCAACTCTCGCCTCGCGCTTGGTTGGTTGAGTGTCTTCTTCTTGTCGTTCAGTCTCCGTTTGCTGAGGCGATCTACCCGCAGTGACTGTAGTCGAGAAATTCGGGTTATTCTCGCCTGGCAACTCTCCTGTAGCACCTTCAGTGTACGGCCAGGGGTCGTTTGCCAGCCGGGTGAAAGGGGAAGTGCCGTTGGTAAGATTATGTGTTGGTTTATGGCTCAGCTTCCTGGTACTGGCAAAAGAACTCCGAGTTCCATCCTCTGATTCTAGGCTCTTTGCCTGGTAATCCGGGGATTGAGGTCGAATGGTCTCGTGGGTGATTTGGATTTCTGTAACTTTCCGCACGGCGAGACCCTCACTCATGAATGGATTCACTGGAATTGGCATTGGTGGCCGTGGCTGGTCCTTGGAGAATGCTCTCAAAGCAGCACGCTGCTTGAAAATGTCTTTGCCTGTCACGAGGTAAATTGTGGTCGTGACGGCAATGATGATCCTAGCCTGAGTCAGAAGACAGGGTATGTTGAAAACAGGTATGACCACTCACCAGACGGGTCCGTAGAAGAAGGCGATGCGCATCCAGTCCCACTCAACTGCAATCCAACACCATAGCTGTAGCAAATCGTCAGTAGCTGGCGTGCTGAGTAACCCCTACAACTCACAGTGGCTGGGCCATAGATCCGCGCGCCCTTGGAGGCGTGATCGATGATGAGGAATATGAGGGCGGGGAGTAGCGGCGTTCCATAACAGGCAAGAAAGTACCACTTCTCCAGCGAGCGTAGCATAGCGGAATCGTAGTTCTTGAAGAAGGTCAGGTATACATTAAGTGCCATGCAAAAGGTCCACAGAGAGTCGGCAGGAATGAACCTAAGCAAGGTGAGCTAAAGGAGTATGATGATGATGATGATAGGAGCTATTACATCTGGATCAAGAATGCCTGGAACTGGCACAGTGGATTTTTAGCACCATACATGGTGCCAGATACTGATATAAGGGTGGCAATGTTGCAGAGCAAGTTGCCTATGGATGCAAGAAAGACGAGTCGATTGATGGGTTTGCGAAAGGTTGGCCATACGCCAAAAGTGGTCATGATGAAGAGTGAGCCCATTAATGAAAGGCATGACATTGATCTCTCAGCAATCTCCAAGTCTCGTAGCTGATGGTCGGTGAAGACGTTCCCTCCACCAGACTGTACGGCTGAAGGGGGAGATACTGAAGAGTGCATGATGTGAGAGGGCGGCAGATGGAGGAGAAACAGGAGACTTGGAAGATCGAAACCAAGAACGTAGCGGCAGTGGTTTGATCGCCGAAGACGATCGCCCGGAAAGGTGCTACCCTCTTGAGATGAACCATTCACCGGTACAAGTCCGAGGTCATGAAGATGAGGCACACCACTTGGAAGAAGGCCAGCAGCCGAGACAGTATGCGGAGTATGGTCCGTGGGGTAAGCGAAAAGTGCGCAATTGGAGCGAAGGACAGTGAAGATGAATTGACGTGGTTTAGGAAGAAGCCAGGCTGTGAAGCAGAAGCGGAAGCATAACGTGAAAGTGAAGATGAGAGAGGGGAGAGAGGTGGGAATGAAGTGAAGAAGAGAATTAGGAAAGATGGATAAGGGAAAGGATTACACAGAGTGACGAGTACGAGTTGTGGTGGCACTCGACAGTTGAGCTAGAGGATGGTGGTGGTGGTGGTATGTATGCAAGGAAGTGGTGAGAGAAGTGAACAGGTTCCAGAGAAAAGGAACAAACAGTAACAATGGCGGCTCAGATCTGGATTGACAGCAAGCATGAAGACGACGAGGTAAGGCAGACACGAGACGAGAGAAGCAGCATAGCTAGTCTTTTGGAGGTTTACATTGCATCCATCTCCGTCATGGATAGTTGGTGCAGTAATGCGCACTCACCCTCATCCTCACCCTCACTTATCACGCCCCACATCCCACATCGCACCTTGCGCCTTTCACCTCTCACCTCTCACCTTTCACCTTTCATCTCTGGCCGGGCGTAGCGGGCTGCAGGACGAGAAGCTGAGCTAGGAGTAAGAGATCAGGAGGACCATTCCCAGGACTTGGTCGCGGATAGCCGCAAGCACAGGCAGCTTTGAACGGACGTGCCGTAGGCATGCTTGCGGTGGTGCTGCATGCGGAGAATAGGACGGACGGACGACGAGGAGAAGGACGAAAAGGACAATGAGATCAGATGAAGTGGTATTACGGTACAGCGATGAACCATCCAAGAAGCACGAGCGCGGACATGGATGGACATGGACGGAGGAGCATCAGCATCAGCATCACGATATAGCGACAAGGATGTCACTGGTAAGATGTTAATTGTCAAACCAGAAAGTAGATGGTTCAGGTCCGTTCTCTCTCTAATTATCAGATCGGCCGGTTGTCGCTAAGTAATAAGGGGACAAGGGGAGCAAAAGTCCCGGTACCTCGGGCAGCTATGTAGGGGGGAGGGGGGCAGGGAGACGCCCGGGGAAAGGCGACGGGCCCAACAGTACAGTACACGCCCTTAAGTCTTGAGATGCCCCTAGCTCCCACCCCCCTAGACGCCCCAAGATTAGGGTCAGATTAGGCGGCGGGGTGGGTGGAATGACTTCAGGTTTGGGCGGTTTGGGCGGTTTTGGCGGGTTGGCGGCGGGTTGGCGGCGGGTGCGGGTGGAGCTGACAGCTTACAGTACGTATAGGACAGTACAGTACAGCACATTCCAGCACAGCTCGCTCCACCCCGCCAGTACTCGGGGGCCTCACATGCCTGAAGTGCCTAGTTAGTCTGCCTGACTTTCATCCCCACATCATCTGTCTCATCTCGTCGTCTTCGATCTGTCTTACATAGACATATAGTAATTATATACATCTATAATCTCTCCCAGACAGCCTGTCCTGCTGTTTTGCTTCTTCCTGCTTCACTTATACCACTTATACTACTACCCTTTGTTCCAATCCCTTGGCTGATCCGCCTCACTCCGATGGCTTCCTGCTTAGTCTCGCGTCGTCAGCACAAAGCGTGACAGCGAACAGCCTTGCTGTAAGCATCATACCACATATCACATACTCCCGTCCTCCATTCACGCTTGGGATTGGGCCTCCCATTCTATTTACCGGACTTTTGACAGCTCTATCCATGACTCGCTAGATAGCTATAATCTCCCGTTATACCGCTCCCGGTCTGCCACCACCGCTACCACCACCACCACCACCACCTTACTCCGTCCTTCTTGTCCACGCTTGCATCTACATACCAGATGGAGAAATCTTGTTCTCTTTGCTTTGTTGTCTTCTTAGCTCTGCTCCAACGGTCTGGCAATGGATCGCCTGCTCGCTCACACCTGCGAATCTCCCCTCCAAACTCTAGTAATGCAAGGAACAACCTTGGAGAGATCTGCAGACCGTGTGCACATTTGCACGAACAAAGCACACATCACTCTGGATATGCCGAGATCCTGTCGATTAGGAACAACCTATCTAGCCAACTCTTATCTCCGCCAGAACTTACCACAACCCATTGATCCGACTCCAATCTTTCGCCCCTGGACCCTCGCTCCCTAGCCCTATACACCACCAGACCGAGATGCATCCATCTGCCTCGTCTGTGCACAGTCCACTGCGACCCAGTCCCAGTGTATATCATTAGGACATGCTGACTGTGTTGATCCGTCTATTCAATGCTTGGTTGGTGATATTGCTGCCATTGGTAGCGGCATCCTTGACGGGAGCTCCGGCCTGCTTCAGGCCGTCCTGTGTGCGCTCCTATCGCTCCTGCAGTCCTGGTGGGCAAACCACCGGAAGCGGTCAAATGGATCTCCATTGACTGTTACTGCACCTCTAATTCTCCTTACCCGTCAAGCATTCGGATATCAAAGCAGCAATGCCTATCCTTCTCAAGAGCACCCTCTCTGAAAATCGCATATACTGAGCTGTGTGACGGACATACAAATCTATGTACGATCACACTCACTACTCTTACCTGGCTGACATGGTCCATTCGTGTTCCATAAGCCCGGGATCTGGCTCGTGACGGACGTCAGCTCGCCTCAGCAACATCCTAGTCCTCTCTGTACCAGCCCTCAGGTATGGGTAGAAACACTTCCTTAGTAACAGTATTGTGCCTTTCTTGATCCCCCTCACTGTATGCACCCCAGACTTGTTGGGAACGTGCTAATTACCAGTGAAAGTTGTCGGGTCTAGGCAAAGGCCTGGCTTCATACACAGCCATCCTCGCGGCATTCTACGCATCTTGATGTGGCCAGGGCTGAGTTGGAACTGCCTTGCATGCCAAGCTTACACTTGCTTGATGACTACGTATACGTACACGAATGACTTTTTTTCTTTTCTTTTGCCGACTATATATTGTAAGATGCTTCTGACGAGTTGGAATATTTCAAATACATACAGGGATCCATACATGAAGGGATGATTGCTTGATCGAACTTGGCCTACTGTCGGCTATATTCCCAGCATGAGGTAAATTAGTGCATACCATGTAGACCTCAGTCATTAGATGTTCTAAAATAGACATGTTCGCTTCTGCTCCGCGATCGAGCTTGATCTTCTACTACTAGCGTTTTATGTTCTGGCTCTTCTCATTCACTATCAGCTAGTGACCAACATCTTGAATTTGCGGCGGGCGGGTGAATGGAAGTGTGTCGCAGTGCCTTACCCTCGAGGACATGTCGGAAGGTTGTTAGCCTTACCCATCTGCCTTCACAATGTTTTTCCGGCCTGGGGATATTGGCCGGGAAGGTTGTCAGTGTTACCCAGGATGTCTGTGGCCTGAGGCATCAAGAGCTTCCCCATCACATCATAGCTCCGCATTTCCGCCTGACAAGCTAAGACAGAAGGGAAAGCATTGTGATGAAGCTTTGCCTCGTTTTACCCTCCCGCTCGCACTGCGGATGTTGCAATGTACCGCGAGCAGCTTCCTTTGCGCTCTTCCACTACCATCTCAGCCTCCAGACTTGCGTCATCAGATGTTCCCCCACTCATAGGCTAGGCAATAGCCGACACTGCTTCCCTCGGTGACCACCACCATTATGACATCCGTCGTCTTCGATCGGCTTTTAAATCGAGAACTTGGCTATTCCACTGGCAGCAAGAACCGATACTCTCACGTTCGAGGTCTCTATGGCGATCAGAAATGGGTTCATGACCTGGACATTGTCAATGAGCTCGACGGACATCAAGGATGCGTCAATGCTTTGAGGTCGGTATTTTTTCAACACACATCACTACATTTGACGGACCTTCTTGCTGACTTTGTTGATAGTTGGTCACGCTCTGGTAGACTCCTTGCCTCTGGCTCAGACGATCAGCATGTCAACATACATACTTATCTCCCTGACTCCTCCACTTCCCAGTTCCAATTCACAACAACCATTGCTACAGGCCATCATGCCAACATATTTTCTGTCAAGTTCATGCCTCACTCAAATGACAGAACAATCGTGAGCGCTGCTGGGGATTCCGAAATACGTGTGTTCGATATCGAGTATTCAGGCCAAACTACCTCTTCGGATTCTGCGTCAAACTTCCGCTCCCGAGCCGGCGCAAACAACATTTATAATGGAGTAAGATACCTCAGCGAAGGAGACAGCAATGCAAAAGTCTTCCGGTCCCACGGCGACCGTGTCAAGAGGATAGTAACCGAGTCTTCGCCTTTCTTCTTTTTGACCTGCTCCGAGGATGGCGAGGTCCGACAGTGGGACGTTCGCCAGCCATCTTCAGCATATCCTGCACCCTCCCGAAGATCCTCCCTGTCCAGCCGAAATGCCCCTCCGCCTTTGATCTCGTACAAGAAGTATGGCTTAGATCTCAATACCATATCCTGTTCTCCTAGTCAGCCTCATTACATTGCACTTGGAGGTGCTCATCTGCACTGCTTTCTTCATGATCGCCGCATGCTGGGACGGGACAGGGCTGCAGAACGTGGTGACTTGTTGCGGAATGACTTGACTTCGCAACACGAGGAAGATGCCCTTTCTGAAGCCACTCGATGTGTCAAGAAGTTTGCGCCCCATGGCAAGCGTACCATGAGAAGGAGTGATAGTGGCCATATTACAGCATGCAAGATAAGTGACTCTAACCCCAACGAACTCATCGTGAGCTGGTCCGGAGACCACATCTACAACTTTGACATCAATCGGACGCCGGACGCCAGTGAAGCCATCCAGTACACGACTGTCGAGAAAGGAAATAGCAATCGCGCAAAGACTTATAATGATCGCAAGCGTAAACGGACTGGACTGTCACAATCTGCAATATCCAATGAAGGGGCTGCAAGGGCTGATTCCAGACCGCGTACTGACAGCGCAGAACCCGCAGAGCAAGAAATGTCACTCATGGTACAGTACGAGAATGGTCAAAGCGAAGAGATACCTATAGAGTCTCGGAGACCTCAGATTGCGTCCGGCGAGGCTTCATTAGGCGAATCAGAGAAACTAAGCTATCGAATCTCAAAGTCTACCATAGATTTGCGGAAGCAGATGTTCACGCTTGGTCAACCGAAATCCTCATCGGCTGTCGATGTGACTGGTCACGCCGCAGAGTTTACTTCTATCATAGGCCTGAGCGCCTCCATATTACCAGAGATGGACGATATCATGAAATCGTGGCGGTATCCTGTTGATCCATCCGAGCTGGAGGTTGTTTTCCAGAATCGACTCCGAGATGACCGTGGCTCTGCCCGTCGTTTCGTGCAAGCTGCCGGAATCACTGCGCGTATCCTCGGGGGAAGACTCAGAATGGGAGGCGCTAGCGATGCAATGATTGACCAGTACTTTACTACTATCACCCCTGTCCCCAACGAACGAACTATACCTAGACACCAACAATTCGGATTCGATTTCATGAAAGCTATATATCTCTGGCTGGACAGCGGCATTGGCGCTCTTGCAGAAGGATTCTGTGCGAACAAGGGCAGGCGAGGCAGTACCCGATTTCCCATACCAGATGACGAAGCTGCAGAAGAGGCTATTCACGAGATTCTAATCCCGTATCTCCTAGATCTTGCGAGCGACAACTCGGTCTTGGATGTTGATGCGTCTCGCTTTGAGGTGGACGAGAACAGAATTACATTTACAACGGAGAAGGCTGCTGTCATGGCATTTGCGCGAGCTATTCGAATACCCTTCGCAGATCTTTCGAGCAGTGCTGATGGGCCTGCTTCCGTCCAAGATCGTAGGACTGCGCTCAGATTCTGGGCTTTCAAGGTCGGAAGGGGGTTATTGATGAACGCTGCGCAAGGCATCAATTTCGAACTTGTCGATCGAGCATTTGGAGGTATGGGTCGTGGAGAAGCCGGAATCATTGCTGCCGAAGCTGCATTTGCGGAACGTTTCAAGCGCCGCGAGGGCGAAGAGGAGGAGGAGGATCCACGGGTGCACCAAGCGACCCTAAGAACTAGAGACCGTCCACGAACAGAGGCGGATTCAACATCTGACGCAGCGCCATTAGGAGTCGACCTCTCAGACTCAGTCCAAGATGACCAAAGCGAAGACGAAGATGAACAAGTCCTGCCTATTGAAGCACTACGCGATGCGGCAGCTGCAGTCAATGAGAACAGCGCCGTGGGACATTCAGAAGACGACGAATCAATGAGCGGTAACGATGCCGCATCATCTAGTGAAGATGAAGAGGAGGAAGATGATGATGACGATGATGATGTTGATGAGCAGGACGAGCTTGCCAATAGAATATTTTGGCGCTCCAATTTCTCGAGACGGGTTCGCAAGGAGAAAGTCGAGGCTTCGGTGCCGTGTGGCACTCATACGCGCATATACAAAGGGCACTGCAACGTCAAAACTGTCAAGGACGTCAATTTTTATGGCTTAGAAGACGAATACGTCGTCAGTGGGAGCGACTCAGGCCACTTGTTCATATGGGATCGGAAGACAAGCAAATTGCTGAACATATTGGAAGGAGACGGAGAAGTCGTAAACGTGGTTCAGGGTCATCCATACGAACCGATGATTGCGGTGTCAGGTATCGATCACACGATAAAGATATTCTCGCCTGACGCGCGCTCGCGCTCCGATGCTCGCAATGGCATAGGTGTCAAAGCAGCCGATTCTTCGGATTTTTCATCGATTAATTTCAGTCGACGACGCCGTCGGGATGGTCGAGCAAGGGCATCATCAAGCCAAAGGCAAGACGACGATGCGGCTGAGGAGGAAGGCGATATCGACTCTGACGACGAATCACGTATAGCTCACGGAGGCCTTCCCAGCAGGAAAAGAATCCAAGACGAGTACCAAATCACGAGTGAGAATGACAGGGCACGAGATGGAGGCGGAGGGTCAGATGCATTCCTTACTCAGAGCATGCTCTTACAGATTGCAAGGCATTTGAGACAACAGCAGGCAGAAGGAAACACCAATGTCGACTTACCCATGATGCTTGCCGGAGGGGACGGGGAGGACTGTCACGTGAGCCATCCTCCATCAATCATTCCACTTACTCAATTCTAATGTTGTATTGTAGGTGATGTGAGCTCTAACGATGACATCTGGAGGCATCGCAAGCTTTGCTCGTGTATTGGAATCGGCGCTCGAATGGCCGACAGCTGCCAGTTATGTCGGATGCAACTGACTGATGGAGAACATGAATCCCGCTGAGCTGGGGGAAGCAGCGCCAGAGGGTTGCGTGCAGTTTCATGCTTGGGGAACTAATCCATCACGAGACAGGACTGGTGAAGCTGCATGGGAACTGCCATGTAGCACCCTGCAACCAACCTAAAGCTTGCTCCACGAGGTAACTTTATATAGCATTTAAACATCTCGATGCTATATCGTGCAGACGTTGCCCATGTAACACCTGAATATGCGACCATCCTGTTCTGGTTCCTGTTCTTGCCGGTACCCCTTTTGTGTCCTACATCCGTACCCACATCGTTAGTCTCATGAAGCCTTTTTGGCCTTCGCCGCCTTCAATGCCTTCTTCCGATTGCTCCTTATCATGACAATGCTCAAGAACGAGCCTACGATCGCGGAACCAAGCAGAATCAGAATAACGGGTATACGGATCGCCCATACGCGTGGTGGGAAGAGGGAATGCAATGGGTGGTCTTCGTCAACAAATGGCTACACACAGTCAGCTTTGAGTATCTGGCGCAGCATGAAGAGGTCTCTATAGTACCATGAACAGCGTCCAGACGGAGTAATAGAGAAAGACTGCGGATGCCACGATTAGCATTGCGAGCCCAATGAGACGGTCGAGCTGAGCTAAGTTAGCTTTCTATCCTCCAGCGCGATGCAAAAGTGAACTTGAGGATGCACACCATGTTGAATTTTGTTGCTGAACGAGAGACTATGTTTGAGTATCGAAGCGTTTGTGATATCTGGCGCTCGTCGACGTCTCGGGAGCTGCTACCTAGGTAATTAATTAGTAGTACCTTCCAACGCGCCTGGTTGCTCGTCTTGGCAATAAAAAATCGCCCGACGTCGTGCCGAGTTGGCTGGTAAACTTCACCCAGCTCACCTACAATACCGCGTTTGATCAGTCTTCAGTCTGCAACGGCGGCCTTCGGCCAGCAACACTTTCAAACTTGCAAGCTTTCTTCGCAAATTCTCGTTGAGATGGCGGATATCATGCTGTCAGCTGTTCGTCTACCCACGCCTGAGCCGGCTCTCGATCCTGCGCCTCAAGAACAACCCCGTGGTGTTAAGAGACATCTCTCACCATCCTCCCGCTCACCAACGCCCAAACGCCACCGCTCACCTCCACGCAAGAGATACTCGTACTCGCGTTCTCCTTCACCCGATCGACGTTTCAAAGATGCTCCCGCAGGTCCACTCCCACGCGACGTCGATCGTTCGCGTGCCTTCGAACGGCAGCGCCAGCTCGAGATGCGGCAAAGACAGCAAAAAGATGAGACATCTGTGCCTCTCACCGATGAGCAGAAGCAAGAAGCGGCCAAGGCAGAGTACCAGCGCCTACTCAACGCGCGGTCTGGGGGTGTATACGTGCCCCCGGCCAAGCTACGCCAGCTTCAAGCTCAGATCACGGATAAGACGAGCAAGGAATACCAGCGTATGGCATGGGAGGCATTGAAGAAGAGCATAAATGGTCTGGTCAACAAGGTCAACGTCAGCAATATCAAGCATATCGTGCCGGAGCTCTTCGGCGAGAACATGATCCGAGGACGAGGGCTGTTCGCGAGGAGTCTGATGAAGGCACAGGCGGCGAGTTTGCCATTCACACCAATATATGCTGCTACGGTCGCTATCGTCAACACCAAATTACCGCAAGTTGGAGAGCTGCTGGTCAATAGACTTGTTGTGCAATTCCGAAAGGCTTTCAAGCGGAACGATAAGGCCGTCTGTCTGTCGAGTACAACCTTCATTGCGCATCTTGTCAATCAGCAAGTGGTACACGAGATTCTTGCGGCGCAGATCCTGCTCTTGTTGCTCAACAAGCCCACCGACGACAGTGTGGAGATTGCAGTTGGGTTGACTAGGGAGGTTGGTCAGCACTTGGAGGAGATGAACCAGCAAATCGCGTTGGCTGTGTTTGACCAATTCAGGACTATTCTGCACGAAGCAGATATCGATAAGAGAGTCCAATATATGATAGAAGTGCTGTTCCAGGTCAGGAAAGATAAATACAAGGACAACCCGGCTATCAAAGAAGAGTTGGACTTGGTCGAGGAGGAGGACCAGATCACACACCGGACTATGTTGGATGACGAAGATATCGAAGTCCAGGATAGTCTTAATATCTTCAAATTTGATTCAGAATGGCAAGAGCACGAGGATGCATACAAAACGCTCAAAGCGGAGATTCTTGGAGAGGCTGATGGAAGCGACGCTGAAGATGACGATGAATACGAGACGGATAGCTCTGATGATGAGGAAGCCCAGAAAGAGAAGGAGCTCGAGGTAAAGGACCAGACGAACACAGACCTCGTCAACCTGCGTCGGCAGATCTACCTTACCATCAAATCCAGTGGGGGCTTTGAAGAGTGTTGTCATAAGCTCATGCGTATCAACCTTCCTGTTGGACAAGAAGAAGAACTCCCGTCCATGGTGATTGAGTGTGCGTCTCAAGAACGAACATACGATAAATTCTACGGAAACATCGGCGAGCGTTTTTGCAAGCTCAATCGTCTGTGGAAAGAACTTTTCGAAAGCATGTTCGCCAAGTACTACGAGACGATTCATCGGTACGAAACAAACCGCCTACGTATTATCGCACAATTCTTCGGCTACCTTATTTCGACTGATGCCATCGACTGGCACGTCTTGTCACTCATCCATCTGAACGAGGAAGAAACAACTTCGAGTTCACGTATCTTCATCAAGATCCTATTCGAGGATCTTTCACAGGCACTCGGGATGCCAAAGTTGGCCACCAAGTTGACAAAGGACGAAGTGCTCACTCCTTCGCTCGGTGGACTCTTTCCCAAAGATCCGACGAATCAAAAGGACACCCGATTCGCCATCAACTTCTTCACGGCCGTGGGAATGGGGGCTCTGACAGAGGATATGCGCGAGTGGCTAAAGAACGTACCGAAACCTGCCCCTCCCCCTCTACCTGCCCCAGGCTCGCCGTCGGACTCGGAGAGCATCTCCAGCTATTCCAGCTATTCCAGTTACTCATCCCGCTCCCGTTCTCGCTCTCGTTCTCGCGCTCGTTCATATTCGCGCTCTCGCTCTCCAACTCGCGATCGCTCACTGTCCCGTTCGCGTTCACTCTCACGTACTCCCGGCCACCGCGGCAGACGCCGCAGCTACTCATACTCCCGCTCGCCATCGCACACGCCATCTCGCTCCAGATCTCGCTCCAGATCTCCGTTACCTAGACGTTCCAGACGCCGCAGTTACTCTGAATCGCGCTCGCCATCTCGTTCACGGTCGCCAATTCGACGAAGAAGAAGTCCGTCATACTCTGTGTCTAGGTCTAGATCTCGAACGCCGCCACGAAGGAACGCGAGGAGTCCGCCAGGTAGGGGAAGGACGCTTTCGAGGTCGACATCAAGGTCCGTGAGTCCACCCCGGAGAAATGGGACGAGTCAGTCTGCGAGACGCAACTCACGTCATTCGAGGAGTCCACCACCAAGAAGGAGAGGGGACTAAATCAGGAAAGGGGATAGGGATGGTGTGGAGCGTTGCTGTGGGAGAGGTGAGGAGCCGGTTCGGGACAGGTTCAATTGTATATTCATTGTCGGGAGCTATCTGTATAAGTTATTGGCATGGGTGATAATTGAAATGTGCAGAAGAGTGCGCGTAGGATGGCCATCGGGATATCTCTACATTAGACAGCAAGTTGCATATCATATGCCGCCTACAGTCGGCTCACCCAGGATTGGCTTTGTGCGCATGGACCGAACATTGGGAATCAGACTAGCAGCCCGTTGGCCCACCCCTGCATTATCTTTTCTCCTCTGGACGTGCTAACAGTTGGACTGATTAATTCTGAATTGCTCATATGACCGACTTTACGCTCTCTAGCATTAGTGTTAGGAAAGTCTGATATGTGTGTGCCGGTATTCGTGCCTGCTATCCGCTCACAAAGAAAAGAATTCTATGAATACATAATTCTACTTTCAGCTCACAATACACGGTAGAGTGGGTCTCTTGAAATGCTGATATGAGGACAGACGCAGAGCTCCAGAGTTGATAGATAGCACATGGCGTCGTGCACGATAAGACGGAACGATGCATGTAGAATATCTGTCTGTTGTGCATACCCCATTGGCTATTGGTCGATATTGCAACGGCCGGACACGTTGTTCCGGCGCCTCGCATGCTCTCTCTCCTTCACGGCGCCTTGAAGCTGGAATTAATCGCAGTTTCAGGTACCAGAGGTCTGTAGCTACGATACAGTTACCTGATTGCGGCACGACGCTATTTACGTATGTCACTGTGGCGGCTCCCATCGGTTCAACAAGGTCACGCCAGGATCCTCATAGTGCCGTGTGCGTGGTACCTGGAGCTTTGTTTTGTTGCGCGCATACCACAGTACACCTCACATGTGCACAACCAACGCATAACTTGCTGTTCGGACCGAATAGCCAGCGGTACGGTCGTGCAGGGGGAGCTATGATACCTGATTGACCGGATCGAACTACGCATGTACGTAAGTGTACGAGCACAAGTAGTGACGATGCGGTGTACGGGGCCATTGCTGTTTGTCCCTTTTACTCTTGCTCGTACACTTTTCTGTCGCTCAACTCGACCCGTAGAAAAGACGGGAGACCGCAATGCATATTCGATGAGGCATCATTGTTCGGAGCTCGATTGCGGCGCCTACAGACTTGGTTGGGAAGAGCGTCAAGATCGATGACATGTCGTCGCCGCCACAGTCACTAGAGAAGTGTTGTCGACATGCATTGGGCTACTTCTTACGAAGCCGTACGACAGGTTTCATGCGCACAAATTACAAGGCCGAGATCAAAAGAACGTACTTCACAGCTTCTAGACAGCGCAGCAAAAACAATCTTTTACAGCCAAGACTCAGGATTGCTCTGGTCGCGTCAGTCGGAACGGGCTGCATCGCATCACTCTTTCTCTTTGGCAAAGAAACAGGTACAAAGCAGGCGGAAGAGTCCATTCCCAAGATCAGTGTATCGGAACACCCCAAGGCCAGTGTATCGGAACAGATCCCAAACGTCCAATATTTTCGCCTTGCTGAAGTCGCCAGCCACGATGCCAGCTCGGACAGGCAGTGGATAACACGCGGCACATCAGTTTACGATATCACAGATTTCATATCCGCCCACCCAGGTGGGCCCATCATACTCCACGCCGCTGGCGGCAGCATCGACCCATACTGGAAGCTGTTCACAATTCACGCCTCATCGCACGTCCAAGAAATCCTCGCGCAGTATAAAATTGGCGAAATCGCCTCGTGCGACCTTGTTAACGGCGAAGTCCCCTGTGCTTCTATCCGAAATCCATACGCCGATGACCCGCCCCGCGATTCGCGGCTGAAGACGCTGACCGAGAATCCGCGGAATGCGGAATCGCCGGATGAGGCATTGTCAGAAGACGTCACGCCGAATGAACTATTCTACGTGCGAAATCATTTCTGGGTCCCGCCCGTGAAGGAAGAGGAATACACTTTCACAGTCGAATTACCTTGCGGGACGGAAAGGACATACTCTCTCTCCGACTTGAAGAGCTTCGAGCCACACACCATAACTGCAACTCTTCAATGCGCTGGGAACCGCCGCTCGCATATGTCTGCAGCCGTCAAACCGACGAATGGCTTGCCATGGAATGTTGGCGGAATAAGCACCGCGACATGGACCGGCGCACGTCTTGCTGACGTTCTTGCCGACGCAGGATTGGATATGAGGAGTGAAGAGCATAAGAGTGCGAGACACGCAGACTTTACGGCCCTCGAAGCGTATGGTGCCAGTATACCCCTGTCCACGGCGATGGACCCCCGATCCGACGTACTACTTGCGTACGCCATGAACGGCACGGACTTACCACGCGATCATGGATACCCAGTGCGTGTCGTGGCACCTGGAATAGTTGCGGCAAGAAGTGTGAAGTGGGTGCAAAAAGTGAGCATCGGGGAGGAGGAGAGTGCAAGTCAGTGGCAGCGCAGGGACTACAAGTGCTTCGGGCCGAATGAGAAGCGGCTAGATTGGGACAAGGCGAAGAGCATTCAGGAGATGCCCGTTATGTCTGCCATTACGGGCTATAGGATCAAGAAGAAAGGGGGCGGATGGCTTGGCAGGCAAGATGGTCAGAAGATGCTGGACGTTTGGGGCTATGCGTATTCCGGCGGCGGGAGGGAAATAGTCCGAGTCGACGTCAGCCTTGACGGCGGGAAGAGCTGGGACCAGGCCGAGCTGCTCCGGGGCGAGCGCGAGGATGGCAGCAAGACGTGGGCGTGGACGAGGTGGAGGTATCACATGGCGGATCCTGGGGATGGGAAGGTGGAAATTGCCGTCAAAGCGACAGATGAAGCGTACAACACACAACCGGAAAGGTTTGACGGTATCTGGAATGCGAGAGGGAATCTAGCAACTGCGTGGCATCGTGTCGTCGTTGGAGAGGACGAGACTTGATACACCAACCCCCCTCCTGCCTGAAGGAGACCACACTTTTGAGCAAACAGAAAGTTCCTTCACGGCTCCATTTCCATGTATTATACAGTATGACGCTGCTCCTGCTCGAGTACGCGGTGACACTGATCATCAGCTCCAAGCAATGATCCTCATCAGCTCCGCGTCCACACATCCTGACGGACGCAGGTCGACGTCGCTATTTGTACAGTATTCAGGCCAAGACGGCCACACAAAAGCGCAGTTCTTATCCGGTATTCAGCGGCAAGCGAAGACTACTTATTACTAATAATTGTTATGATCTTTGTATTTTGTATAGGAGTGCAGGAACAGGGGAATCTATGTACTTGTACGCTTTCAAGATGCTGTTATCGCTCGACGCCTTCAGGAAAGGCTAGATGTGGCAATTTCAGGTAATCAAATATACGTTGTGAACGCTACCGCTGGAATCGCTCAACCCACTCGACTGTCGAAACTTCCTACCAAGTCTGGCATTGCACTTCAGCACTGATTGGATGTACATAGTCCAGCAGATTGAAATATATAGATACCGCCACCGACGGGAAGAAGAGATGCTCTCGCAGGATTCTTTCTTGTTGCCCTGGGCGTTTGTAGGTGTAGCTAAAGAGCCCAGGCCCAGACCACGCCAGCCTTGGGGAAAACTGTGTGCAGCCTTGCCTCGTGGAGATGTATCTTTCTGGAATGCTGGATCGGACCTTCACTTTTGAGTCGTAGTTGCTCCCCTCATGACGTACTCCGTTTAAGCCTCGCCACAAGACATCATCCTGGAAGCCATAGATTTCTTTTCGGTGGGTGCTAAAACTAACAGATGTACAGCGTTTTGTAGCAACGAACGGAGATGCTGATTGGCCAGGAAGCCGCGTGACTTTCGAGGCAAACTCGTGTAATGTGGACGTGCAAACATTTGCCTGCAGTACAGCTCACTCAATTGAGACCAGATCTCCAAATGTGAAGACCGGGACTGCAATTGGGCTGATTCGTGTGACGGGTCACATGAATCTCATCCTGCAACGTTGTGGGTAATTGTGCCACGATCAAACAGTGCCTATGTACGTCAGTACGTTGTAAAACCATTTCAATGCGATATATATCTTGCCTGAAATTGAACTTCGTGACAGGCTTCAGCAAACCGAAGCTCAGCAAACGGAGGTCGCAAGACCAGCAGCTGCACTGTATGCACAGGAAATTATTGCTGTGTCGTTGACGATTAACTTCGGGAGTATTTGTGTCCGAATACGGTTGTTGGATCCAAGGCAAGGTCCACAATTAGGCACATATCCTAATATGGATATCATTGTACAGGATGTACTTAGGTTGGTCGATGTTCACATCCTCAAGACTGTGGAGAGACGTTCGACCAGGTCTCGATGTCTCAGGTGACTGGTGTCTAAATGCCTAATCGATGGATCACAACTTTGCTGAGTCCGATGGTGGATCTTCGATGGTATGTCGTGCATATCATAGCGTGTTTGGCCCGGTCACGATCTCCTCGGATCTGCGCCTCGGACTTGCTTCCGGTGTGCGACTGAGACGTGCAAGATGCCTATTGCATCTCCTCCCATTGGCACCGTTTACACATGCACATTCCACCGAGTGCACCTACTGCCCATTCTCGTCTTTCTTTGACAGGTAACTCGATATCGCAGTAATGACTCAGAAGTTCTTCGTCTTTCTTGATTCCTGGTGTCGCTCTTTCATCTCGACCTTTCCACATCGCGCGTTCAGTCTTTGCAGTGAATCTGATGCTCCCGCGCCATTCCCAAGTGACGTTTGGGTCACAACTGTGGTTCGCAAGACACCAGAGGGGATGCACGGCAGCGATTTCCGGTTTGCCATCAAGCCCTTGTTTTGCCGAGGCTGTTCCCCTGAACTTGGCATATAGAGTATTGAATACCCAGAAATCATACTTGGTGCTCGTCTCGAATATGTTGACGTCCATCTTCTCGAGCATGTGGAGGGGCAGGAATATGTTGTACTTGAAGGAAAACGGTAGCGTGCGAAGTGCTTCGGATCCATGTCCCATGCCCAAGATTGTGTTTGTGTAGTCACCCCAGATGTACTTCACCTCATTCAGGTCCAAGGGATCGATTTCTTGAGTCTCGGCCATTGCCAAAATGCGCAAGAGCAGTAACGAGTAGAGTGCATCGGCTGCTTCCTCTGCAGTAGCATCTGCAGCACTTACCTCTACGTCTGTACCACAGATTGCAGGATGGTAAAAGTCTTGTGCGAGATCATGGCAGTTCTGGCTGCAAAACCATACATCGTCACATTCGAGACACGGCATGTAATCATCGGTTCCTGGACTTCCGAGCTTCGCAAGAGGAACTCCACAGGCATCGCAAAAAGGGTCGTGAAAGCGAAGATGCGCTGTGAGCAGTGATCTCTCGTCGAGGACTATATCCCCGGGCTCAAGATCATTTTTGGCAAAAACGCCAAGTTGTTTTACTGTGTGTGTCTCGTCCCGGCTCTCATGCTGGACCAGAACAGGTAGCTGTGTAGACTTGACTATAAGGTTCGGAGCAGATATGGCCATCTGCTCGTTTAGTGAACTTATGGCGTCTGCAGAGAACCGATCTGGCTCATGCTCGTTCCATGAATAAAGCTCCCGTCGCACAAGACCTCGGTCCGGCAAATCATCCAAGATAACATCATTCTCGTCCAAGGATTTGCCTTGTGACTCGAGGTGTTGTCGGATGGCATGTAGCACTTGATTGTGCTCTTTGCTTAGAGCTTCATGGCCTGGGAAGCCCTTTACCGCCCGTAGACTGTATTCAAATGCACTTTTCAGACAGTTGCAAGCGCACAGACTACGTATTATCTTGATGTATCTGAGAATACATATTAGATCTCGTAATGGGCTGATGCAGAATTGCGCTTACAAGGTAGACAACCACTCAGCTCGGGCATGACCGATGATATCTATATCAGCCGGCGCTTCTGTGGTGATACTTGCACCATTATGTATTACGTCCCCGTAGTATTGTCGGGCAGATTCCAAAGCTTCTTCGTGGAATTCCCCACACTCATCGACGACCTCGTCAATCAGAAGAATTGCCCGATACGCTTCCCCAGCAGCTAGGTCTGGATATTTCAAGGTATCATACGCCTCGATCAGCTTGATACGAAGCGGGACGCTGTACGGATCCTGACTTAACTCCTTTTGAAGGCTCAAAACCGAGTCCATAGGGCTAAGATCGAGGACCTGTCTCAAGAGTCCCTAAAGTATACGACCTTTTCCACCGAACAATCACGCGCCCAAGAGGCTAAGACACAATTAATTCATAGTGAAAACTTCGTCAAGGGCTAGAAACTCGCTTAATCAAAGGAGACAATCAGACTACTATACTTTGAGTTAGACTGCTCTACGCTGCTCCATAAAGATTAGCTGCTCCCAAAGAAGTCATGTAGTTACATCACACTCCTTCTAGCATAATACGTTCAAGAACCTTATCCACCTTTCACGAATCTCAATATTGTTGACTGGCTGGGTGAACTACCGCACAGGATCTCATGTGGGCTACGATACAGGATCCATGATGTTTCCATCTACTGGGGAGGTTGTGGCACGATTTCTTCGTAGCAACGGATATGACAAGGTACGAATTTAGCACTGGCACGGGTCCTCATGCGCTGACGGACTAACTGGTCAAGATAGACCTTAGCTGCGTTCATTACTGAAGCTGGTCTTCCACCTGATGCTGGTACGACCTCTAAGCATGATAGCATCACCATAGAGAAAGTTCTAGAGGAGAAACAAGCTTTTGATTTGGTTCTCAATTTTGAGAAGGTTGGACTTGAAGACGGCAATCGAGGTTGGAATGCATTATGTATGCGTCTATGATCGAATCTGGTCTATGCAGCAAGCATCGGGAAACTGACTCGAATGATAGTACCGCCGTCGCTACCTTCGATTGTCGATGTTTTACCAACATCGTCGAATTTGCTGAATGTATCAATTGAATCGCTGAGCTCGAGTAATGGTGAAGACAGCCATCGTCTTATCTACAGCTCAGCGGACCGGCAGTTTTGCTCTATGCAAACAACATCGCCCAAAGGTCACTTAGAGCTCGACAAAACATACGATCAACATCAGGACTCACCTGTACTAGCATGGGTTCATCTAGATCACAACCTCCTTCTCACCGGAAGCATGTCTGGGAAACTTAGGCTATTTGATCTCGAGAAAGCTGAGGTTATCCACCATCGGCAGGACCATACGAAGTATGTTGTCCGTGTCGTCAAGTGGAAAGCTTTTCACGGGACTTATATCGCCACAGCCGGGTGGGACTGCAAAATCAACTTGTATCACACTCAAGGGCCCACCTACTCAATTGGCGCGCCGATCGCTACTCTAACAGTTACGAGCGTGCCGGAAACGATTTTGTTCATGCAGCATCCAGATAGCTCCCAGCCGATCTTGCTCTTGACCAGACGAAACTCCACATCTATATTCTACTATGCAGTTCCAGACACAACTAGCAGAGGTACAGAAGAATCTATCAAATCCATGGAACTGCTAGGCCGGCAAAATCTTGCTCCGCATTCGAACGCATGGGTAGCTTTCACTCCAGCCTGCATAGCTGTATCACCTAGAGATCCATCTATAGTGGCAGTAGCAACCTCCCAAGAGCCGCATATGAAATTGATGATAGTTCGCCTTTTGATACCACCGCTCGATAAAAATGTCATAACATCTCAAGAGCCAACACAAGCATCCCAGGCACGAACCGAGCTTCTTGTTGCGGATCGAGAGGAAGCCGCAATCATGATCAGCTGTAACACAATGGCCTCGCAAACAGCCTACTCAACACCTATCCTTGTCTGGAGACCTGACGGATCAGGTGAGTGACATGCTACCCAGCCTTGAATTTCGCACGCTAATGGAGGGGAAGGCGTTTGGGTCAATAGTGACGACGGCGTAATACGAGGGGTCGATTCAAGCTCCGGTAAAGTCGTCGCGCAGCTGAAAGGACATACAAGCGGGACTAGAATACGCTGCCTCTGGGCGGGTTATGTTAACCCAACCAGGAACGATAATGATCGAACTGAATGGCTTGTGAGCGGTGGATTTGATCAAAAACTCATCATCTGGTACCCGGACGAGAGAAAATCTGGACGTGACTACCCCAATGATGAAAGACTGTCAAGTTGATCGTTGGTCCTTGAAGCGTCACACAAGGTATGGTGCCCGCTGGTCCCGACGGGAAGATGCATGATACAGTGAACGACAGCTGCGATACTCTGATATTCCACGAACTAGAGCTATTCGAGGCTACACGATGACAATAAATCGTTGGCAACGGCTAGATTTATAAGTTTTTGAGTGGCAATGTCTTCCTTCGCTAGTAGTGTCGAGCAACTATGAGCCCTCTCCTAACCTCAAACCGACTTTATCGTGAATGGACCTTTTGATGACATGGTCAGTTTTATTCCAGGGGCGCCCATATTCGCTCGAGTCGTGCATGCAGGCATCTTGAAAAACCTGATGCAGACAGGGGGATACCCTTAATTGCCATGAACTGACCTCCAGCCAGCCAGTCAGCTGGGTCATACTCCACATTTCCGAGCCGATCGGGTTAGTGTTCAGTACAAGGCCGCGGACAAACATGAGCTTCGAGTGCAAACTCAGAAAATTTATCTCAATGGAGCGGCAGGAAAATGTCACATTGACGATGAGTTTGGCCCTATTAAGCATGACCTGACAGGTCTTGTCCACTGCGGCACGGCTGTGGGTAGTAAAAATAGCAGGTACCTACACCATGTCCATTCCTTTTTCCGATCATCTAAATCATGGTTCAATGTTTTCTCTGAATATTTACGACAGCATAGGGTCGTGCCGCAAACCCTGACCTTGCAATTCAGCATTTGTTACTCAACTGGCCGAGACTTTTTTATGTCACACAGTACGCTAGGTTTATGACATTTATCATATCATGGTTGTGGACTTATCCTTCTTCCCCGCTGGGTTTGACTGGCTGTATGCAGACCTTGACGAAGACGCGAGCGCCCGCTGCAGTTTGCTCCTGATCCTAGATCAACATTCAGAACAGAATCATCCATTCTAAACCCTTAGCTAACTGTTTTCGAAGTATTACTTGGATGTCATATAATGCACTATGCCTCTAAGAAACATAAAGTGTGGCATTTACCCTCGCATATGTGCTCTTGAGTAGTATTAACATATCAAATTGTGCTCTCCAAGTCCAATCTCCCAGACGTCTCGAAGGATCGAAAACATCGGTGCCCTCATGTGATCATTGTGACCATACAGTGCCAGACATCGACATCCTCACTGTTGCAGTAGTAAACGGCATTTGCGTGCCTCCGAATCATCGAACTTGTCCGGGTTAGAAGCCAAAATGAGCTCCAGAAGAGATTCAGGAGCAAGCAGCAGTCAGAGCGGATTCTTCTGCTTATCGAATGTGAGTCAGTCATTGCTTATACCATTCACTTCCATGATTAACATGTATCAGGTACAAGGCGATTGGCAAACATTGAAGGACCTTCTTCGAAGCGAAATCCGAGGCCAACCTGGGTGGGTAGATTTTCTCAAAGGTTCTACACCTGGTCAAACAGACGCATATTTCAGCGTGAAAACCGAGGAGGATGCCGATAAAGCCTACTGTAAGCCCTGAAGAGTCCTAAACAGAGATTGCTCTATATTGAGATCTCCCAGACGCACTTACCAACAAAGGTCTTAACGGGGTTCCCGTTGGCGTTCATCGATTCAATGACAAGACAAGTCCTCCAGCGTTAGTGGCCTGCAATTGTCAAGAGCTCCACCCTGGCTGTGTTGGACATCTTGGAGGCATTTACGCGGACACTTCAGGTGTCACATCACATATGATGGCTCAAATGCCGCAACACATGGCCGCACCATACTATGCCACAGCTCCGGCATATGCTTATCCAATGCCCGCAAATACAATGCAACATACTCAGACCTATATGGCAGTACCATATGCGGTGCCGATTGCGACTACTGCTTACAGTATGCAAAGCGTCATGGCATACGCAACGCCCCAATACCAGTATATACCACAGCCTCCAGTCCAGCAGATGCGGATTAATGCAAACGGAGGGACCGTCCCGATGGAAGCTCGTGGGATTTTCATTTCCAATATTGACCAATCTACCACGCAAGAGCAGCTTGAAGCATTCCTTCGAGAACGAAACGCCCGTCCAATATCAGTCCGGCTACCCCGCGACCGCAAAAGGGCTCGTGGCCATGCCACAGTACTGTTTGATACAGGTATGGAGGCGCAGAATGCCATGATTGTACTAGACGGTCAAACTCTTCAAGGGAAGAAGATCAGAGTCCGTATGGACCAAAATGCCACGGTTGTTGAGTCTTCGAGTGGGCCTCTTGTGGTGAACGGGTCAAGTCAAGGTACAAGGGTGAGTGAGTACAGCAAACGCCTCTCAATGCAGCGCTCTGGACTCATAGCTAATAATCGTACAGCAGCGTCGCTAAAAGTATCCAGCATTTCCCGTCCGTTGCTATTATTAGAGTGTGGTCGGTCGTGGGAAGTGTGTTGGCCAGGGAAGCAAGGTTGGTGGCTATGAAGAACTCCAGCTGCGGCAAATGGATGGATGGATGGCACCCTGGCCTACCTCAATTAGCTTGATGCCAACACTTTCACGTCAACTGCGTCATCACTGCTTATATCTCTTTTTTTTCTATCTTTGTTCCTCCCATACATCCCTCGCAGTCTGATCTTATTTTATCCTAAGGTTAAGACCTTACGTATTTGCGGATTCGTATTCCTGTTCTGTGTGCCCTCTTCCGCCGTCAGTACCCATTCAGCCTCTTTGAACTTGGACTCTCTTCTCGAGACATCATTGCTAATTGAGATCTAACTATCCACCACAATGAATGCCTTTGAAACAGAAATGCACATCGATTTTTTTTAAATCCCCCAATTCCGTAAGAAAGAGACTGGTCATCCACCTTCAGTACGCGATAGGTCAACTCAGTCAGCACTCGTCGCCTGAATCATGGTAGTATATTGTATGCCGTCAAAGACGGGATGTTTTGGCCCGGACCATCGGGTAGCTGCAGGCCGTCCCGGTAGACGAAGCAAGCTTGTCATTCTCCAGCTTCAACCAATCGTAAAAACACGACCAGTGGACATGCACCGTTGAAGAAGCACCTTGGCTGCTCTCTGCTTCAAGGCCCCCACCATGATGAGAGCTGCTGTTCCCATACTTACATTCGTGGCTCGCTGTCTAGCAAGGTTGATCCTAGAGCCCAGCATTCGAGAGAAACCCTCATTGGCTAACTGGTGAACGAGTGATTTGAAAGTGGCGACAGCCACACCGACATGAATGGATTATCTTCACCGCCCCAGATAGAGACTTTTGTCCTGTAACAGATCGTGACGCATCGCGAATCTTTTTACTAAACGGTTCTCCGCGTAGAAAATATCGCTTGACACATCCAGCAATGCGAACACCAAGCTAGCGCGCGGAAACATCCATAGCATGTCGGAGAGCATGTCGACATAGATCCGTGAAAGGCAAACAAACATAAGTCAGGAGGGCACCACAGGTGTTATTCCTTGGCAGTATTGTAGTTCAGCATTATAATTACTTCCACCAATTCTTGTTCAATTACGTCCATGACATGGCTTCAGAGACTGCCACATGATATTGCGGTACAGTACCCACGCGTACAATAAACTTATATAGTAGCACAATTGATACGAGCCAACACAGTTCAGCTTCTGAAAGGACAAACTGGAGGATGTTTCGAAAAATGGCTCACTGGATCGACCCCCGGAGCTATCTCTGAGGCATGATAGTCCACGTTGGTTATGTTCAAGCTGACTAGGCACATGAATGGCAAAGTGCTTTCTTAAATCCTTGTCTTTCCAAGCGTTCCATGGTCCAGCATTGAACCTATAAGTTGTATGACCCGAACACCGGGAAAGCATGCAAATTCAAACTGGCATTCATCAGTCCCTCTTGCAATGCCCTGCAACTTTGAAGTCGTTATCGGCTGCGAGGTATGGCCCACTACATTGTGTCACTTGTCTTCGACCTAGCCTTCGTTCTTTCGTTCTACAACAGCCCAATAAGCGACTGGACGCACCGTTTGTAGCCCCTCTGCATGAATTGAGCGAATATTGCTGAATACGTCCACAACTGCGGCAACGGTGCCAGCGAAATCTTTCATAGAAATAGAGGCTGCATACCAAGTATCAGCCCGATGACCGCTCTTCAGAATGATGAGGTGATTGCTGAAAATGCATCTGTGCGTACAGTCAATATGCAACATGGATCTCCCCTTACATTTCATCAAATGTTGCACGGCGTCGTTGCAGGACACTGTTTGGGCACTCCCGCTGACCAGGCTAGAGGGCGAACTATGGCAGTTTCTCTTCCGTTTTACAAAAGGAGTTCGCATTCGTTTTCAGTCGTAGCCTCATGCTTATTCCAATGTGCTAAAAGCTCGTGCACGCGACTCGACGCCCGAGGACGAAGTCCCATGAGGTTCTGCTGCTCCATCCATACTTGCAAAGCAGCAGGAAAGCAAGCCTTCTTTTCTCTATTTAATCATCCACTCACTCTTCGGCGCTTGATATTCATCGAATGAACCGAAGAACTAGGAGCATATCATGATAGTCGACGCTTACTAAGATATAGGCCTGCGGCGTTGCTCCAAGAGCTCAGGTTGGCAATCCCTGCTCGCCTTTCGCGCGGCTCACCGCCGCACGCAAAAATGATACATCCTCTTCGCAACTTCCCACATGTTTCTAGCTCTGACAAATGAAAATTTGACCCCGCATGATGTTTGCGTTCAGATGGCCTGTGCAGAAGTCGAAACCAGCCTTAGCAAACATCCGTGCCTGTCAGATGAAGTCTAACGTACGCCCAGAGTTCCTATTAATCAGTCCAACTTCAATTCTACCTCTCTAGAATTGACTTAGTCTAGTTTAACTAAGGCCTCTTACTAAGGGTTAGATCTTTAGTCTAATTTAATTCTAGGGTAGAATTAAGTTACTAATAGTTAAGTTAAACTAAAGTTATATATAGTATATATATATATATATAGAGTAGTATTTTTAGATATTAAGTTTAGGGGGCTACCTACCGAGGATAGTCCGTTAGCTAATAGTAACCTATACTAGTCTCTCTATATCTAGTCTATTCTAGCTATTATTCTAAGTCTTATATTTTTAAAGTATTTACTATCTTAACTTATAATTATTATATCTACTACCACGCGTTAATACTATTAATATAGCTTCTTAGCGCCTAGTTCGCGCGCCTAAAGTACACTCTCGTAATATATTTAAATAGTAATATTCCTAGGTCGAGTATACGTAGAGAATCACGCGTCCTAGGAAGTCCTAGAATATATTACCTCTTAATAAAGATAATAAAGATAATAATAATAATAATATAACTACCCGTAGGCTAATACTACTACCTCTATCTAGCGCTAGCTCTATACTATACTAGTCTATACCCGAAGACCTATATAGCTACCTAGTATAAGAGAGAGAGGTAATAGAGATAGGTAGTACTAGGGGAGATAAAGATAATAAAGATTCCTAGAGTTTTATAGGCCTAGATATAGAGTCTTCGTATAAGGGCGTTATATAGTCCCGCCTTCTAGGCTTTATAAAACCTATAGTACTACTTAAGCGCGTAAACGCGTTTAGCTAGATCTAGAAGTATAGTTTCTATCTAGAGTAAATTAGTAATAGAGGTAAGTACTAGTAGTATTAAGTCTACTATAAAGAGAAACGTATAGGAGGGAGATTTAAGGTAGTCTTAACTACTAACGCCGTAGACTATCTCTATAATATATACTAGTAGTACCTAAATAGTAAGAGGAAGTATAAGGAGGGTAATATACTAAAGATAATAGTTAAGAAGGCTAGGATAGATTAGACTACGGTAAATCTACTTATCTAGACCTTTCGTCCTAATAGATTTAATTAACTACTAGTAAAGTAGGTTATACTTAACTTATAGTCTCTTCGCGTTATTAAAAACTCTTATCTCTATAAAGCTATCTTAAGAGTAAATCTAGAGGTAGAAGTCTTAATATAGAAGAGTGCGGATACCCTTCGAAGCTATATCTTAAATATCTATAGACGTGGCTTAGTACGACTTTATAAGGTTCTTAGTACTACTATTATTAGGACGGGAACCATAATGGACCTATATAGACCATTATAATCCATGCAGCCACGTAGTGGCCAGAGCTAGGTTAAGTCAACTAAGTTAAGCGAGGTTACTATATAAGTGGACCACATAAACCGATTTCTACTCGTTAGGAATTAACCTCGTATAAGAGTAAGATTACTCTATAAATATATTCCTATATCTCTCTATGAACTATTAGACTACTATCCCACGTCTTTACTCTTTATATTTTAATTTCTCTCTATATAGTACGACGGTAGCTTATAGAGATAGCTCCTACTACGCGCTATAATACCTATAGTACTACCTTATATAAGAGACTCTCTCTAAATCTAAACGAAGAGAATAGTCTCCCTACGACTATCTCTACTAATAAGTATACCCTATAGGCTATCGCACTAATAACTAGTACGGTATTCCGTATAACCGTAGAAGATTACCTAGATAATAAGGAAGAAGTCTATTATACTCCATCGCGGTCTAGTTTATACTATACTAGATCTATCCTTACTATAAGACTAGACCCTATTAATATTAACGAATTAATTCGTTAGAACCGACTAACGTTAACTACGCCTTACGATAATATATATACTAAGCTATATATAGAGAGGTAGCGTTAGGCTTAGCTCGAGTAGTAACTTTACGAACTCGATAAAGCGCGAGGACGAACCGCTAGACTTAAAGCCGTACTACGCGCTTTAGTACTAGTAGTAACTAACCTATACTAATATAGACTAACTTAAGCCGAAATAGTCTAACTAAGTCTATTACTATCCTAATTACCTTAGCCTAAGAAACTATCTTACTTCGACGGTAAAACCAGGAGGAGCTTTTATAAATAGGCTTACTAGTATAGCCGATTCTTCTATCTATTTACGAACGATAGTAATAAGATTAGATTTATATAGAACTATCTAGACCTAACGCCATCTAAACGTTAGATAGTATATCGAATTAAATACCCTAAGGATGCGTATAACTAGGACACGTTCACCGAATTCCTTCTTTAATACTTCGGTGATAGAGCCAAGCGACATGAATAGGCTTAGAGCTATATCTTTAAGACTTAATAGCGAGAGAGATAATCCCCGTTATAACTCCTTAAATATCTCTAATCTCTTTAGAGAGAAGCCGAGGAAGATTATATAGTTCGATAATATAATAACTTTAAAAGGTCCCTTAACCCGAGCGTAAAGGAACGTATCGACCTTATAATATCTATCCCTACTAACCTTTAGGCACTCGCGAATCTCGTCGAATAATATTAGCGTATAATAAATAACTAACGTTATATAGGCGCATGACTATCCC